TCTTTTATGAAAAAATCTCAATAAAAATCTTTTTTTAAAAAAATCAGTCAGTGAGTGTGTGAACTGAAAATGCAAGGCATTAAGATGATTGGTTGGGCCATACCCAACAGGCTAGTTGAGCCTGGGAGTTTTCGCAAGAGTTACATTTTTAGGTTGTTAGCTGTGCAGGAGCTTACGTAAAAAAGCAGAGACAAAAGGTTTCGCTTCTGAGCTGCTGGAAGAGGGTCTTCCACATGGACTCCTAAAGACCATTTTGAATCTCCCTCAAAGGACATTGTGTGAGTCAATGCAACTGTTCACATGACTGTATATATGTTGCTCTGCCTTTCAAAGAGTAAAATTTCTGCTCTTTACTGATCATCTGCATGGCATATCTTTTATCAGGCAAGACAATGTATGGACTGGTAAAAGCATGAACTACACGTGATTTTCATTCTGTAACAATGCATTTTTTCTATATTGTATTTTATTGATTCAAAGATGCATTACCCTCCATAGAAACATCTCTAAAAATGGGGTGCATCGTAGTATATAGAAATAAAGCTTTTTTCTGTTGGTGGTACTGAAATTAGTGTGCATCTTAGAACCAATGGCATCTTAGATTCGATGAAATATGGTAATTACAAATACACACTGCAGCCTTGTTTATTTGAAAAAACACACTGCATACAGAGATTTGTGTGTAGAAAACAAATAAGCCATTCATATTCCATGGAAAAAGAGGCCTTTCTGTAAAAGATCAATGAAGACTTCCTAGATTAGCGGATGACAAGAAAGCATGTCACGCTCATCTAGTCCTGCCAACCCTTTCTTGGGGTGGTTTTCAAAGCTCTCTTTCCCTCCTTACATTTCTAAAACATCCACATGAAACATCTGGTAAATGGCTGCAGCTATGCATCCTGCAGTTTGTTTGCACCACTGGGATAACAACCAAATGTGGAATGTAATTTATCATGCTTGCTGTCCACCAGAAACAGTTCTCAAGTTTGCTTTCCTAACCAGCTTGACTGTTTATGTGTGGGAGCTTAGCTTTATCCTCTCTGTGTGAATCTAGAATTCAAAGGTCTGCAAAATATAAAAACAGATGCTCATTCACTCTCTGTCTCGTGCCCGTACATACACACAAAAGATATTGCTTATTCTGGGTATGTTTAAACACTGGATCCTTTTCGCTTTGTCATGTAAGCCTGGTTCTAAATGTATTTTGCCACTAGGGGTCCCCCTGTGTTAAAATTTGGTGTAAATAAATACTAAATAATGAACAGACAAAAGTCCACTCTTTCTTTCTTTCTTTCTTTGTTTCTTTTTCCTTCCTTCCTTCCTTTCAAAAAGTTATGATTACTTTGCAGACAGCTATAAGTCAAGAAGTGCAATGCAATCCAAGTTATAATAGCAAGCATTATTTAAGCGAATAACGAAACATTTCTGGGCATTTAGACAAAGGTTGTATGAAGGTTTGTGGCACAATAAAATGATTTTTTTTTCATTCTGCAGAAGGATTAGCCTTCATCATCAACAGAAATTAATACTCTGCACTGCACTCTGTTAGTATTTTCTTTTCTTGTCATCTAATGAACAAATTTGAATGCATACAGTTGTGCAATTTTTTGCACTACAATTTTTGTATTTTTGTCCTTCTGCAATACCTTTAAGAGATTATATTAATTTCTACTGACATTTATTGCTACGTTTCATCTGGCAGTCCTTAAATGAACCTTAGAATCACTTAGCTGTTCCAGAAAACCTATACTTAGGTCTGGTATTCCTATCAAGCAATGGTCTTGACTAATGGACAGAAGTGTACAATTGAATTGCTATTCCAGACTGTGCTTTGCATTTACAAAGAAGATACCATTGCTATTTGCAATGTCTTATCTACTTGGGTATATACCTTGAGATTCTGCTCGTCATTGTCATTTGCTAAGTGTGATAATGAGGAAAAGGGCAATGGACATAAAGCAGGTCTTATGAGCATACTTCTTTCCTGAAATATTTGATTTTTTTTCCGAGTGGCCCACCTTGGGGTCAATGTTGAATAATATAATTGCTGTAAATGGGAAGAGAGCCAGAGATTAAAAAAATGACTAAGGTTGCCAACATGCTATGTATGCCATTTCCCGAATACAAGGCCAAACACACTTGATTAGGAATTATTATTATCATGAACATTTTCCCTTTAGCATTAAGCTTATACTTTTTAGTGTAATAAATGCATGATATCCCACTGCCTTTCCATCATGGAACTCAAAGCAACACAATTACACCATGTAACATGATTTTTGTTCCTGGGTTATAAATGTCATTTCCTTATTGGTTCTGTCATTAAAAATGGGGAAAGTTTATTAAACTGCAAAAACTTTGTTTTTGCGATTTGCACAAAGGTTAAACATGGCATATTTTCATTAAGGAAAATTACCAACAAAATGCCTAGACTGAAGGAAATAATTGCACTACCTTCAGCCACAAAAATGAAGTTTCTGAAGTATAACACCTATTTTCAAAGTAAGTACCGCACAATTAAATGAGAAATAACACTTTCAAAACAGAAACAGAAAAAAATATCAAATGTTGTTATATAGTGTTATATTTCATAATATGGCTTGAAGAGTTTGCAAATAAGATCTCAGCAAGCTAAATAAAACCTTTGAGGTCTGAGCCCATACAATACTGAGGGAAGCCTATGTACACTTGGGTCTCTATCACTCCACACAATTATAGCACCTTGATATCATGGAATCCTAGGATGCCTACACGCCAGTTTAATTGGATGTGAGTGAATTATAGTGTAGTTAATAGAATTTATCACTGAGCATGGGGCTGGATCATCCAGTTGATAATATTAGGTATTGAAAAGGTTCTTCTTTGCCTTTGGTTGACATGCTACAGCCAACTGCAGAACATCAATTGTAACTAAAGCCTTCCTTCAAGACAAGATATACTTATCTGTTGAGTCTTGTCAGAGGGCATAAACATTCTGCTTGAATCAGAATGTGACCACCATTAACTTCATGTATTTCGTACAAATCCTAAAGAGCCAAAGTTCAGCAGTCAATACAAGCTTATTAAGCATATTAATTTGCTTTTTAAATCCCCTATATATTCCATTTGCATTGTATTTGCAATGTTTCTTCATCTCTTGTACTCTGAAATGTGTTTTATAGCCACTTAGATATGGCAAGCTGTTTAATAAGTGTGGTGGTGAGAAATGTACTACCCAAATTGCAATTTCACTTTCTGCAAAAGGTCAGTAATATTTTTACATGCACTTGCCTGTTGTTGCCTTTCTCTGAGTTGTTAGAAGGATTACTCATGACCGCAACTATTGCTCGTACAGTAAAATGCTAATTGAGGACACACAGATAGTATCAGGGTATTAACAGATTTGGAATGATAGCATTAAGCGTCTTGGGTGATCTGCATCTGTTTTCTTGCTTCTGATGTTTTCTTCACAGTTAGAACTAAAGAGACCTTTCTTCTCTACAAACAAGGCAATAGACACAAATCTTACAGGAAACATATAATGGCCAAATCCCACTGGAATAATGATGTATTATACAAAAATATAGCATTTCTTAACTGCTGGAGACTAATAAATGTTATAGTTTTTTCTTGAAAAAATAGCTAAATAAATCATCAGTTTATGTGTATATTCTGTTTCCCTTTTGGAGAAGTTTAATATGATTCCTCAGGAGCAGACCTCATTCAAATCACTCTTTCATCTGTCAGTGAAGTCAACGTTCTTAAACCTCATCTACATGGCCTTTAATCTGGGGCCGGTCCAGAGCAGAAATGCTAGAGATTGGCCCTACCACAAGTTGGGAAGTTAAATACATTTAACTTCCCAACTTGTGGTGGTGACGGGACAGAGTTCAGATGGTCCCTCTGGGCCAATGCATCAGCCCTACTAGACCCTCAACTTACCATCCATGTCACCATTGCCACTGCCCAATGCCTGCAGAAGTCAGTGAGTGCTTCTTTCTGTTTTAGGCACCCGGTTCTGACATAGGCAGAGATTTATTTATTTATTTTATTTGTCGTGTCAGAGCAGCCAGTCCATTATATTACATTTCTAACAGAACAAAGCAAACAAACAGAAAAATACAAAACTTGTGAGTTTGGTAGCTGGTTAAATGTCCTTTGACCAGTATCTGGCCACCTGGAGTGCCTCTGGTGTTGCTGCAAGAAGGTCCTCCATTGTGCATGTGGCAGGGCTCAGGTTGCATTGCAGCAGGTGGTCAGTGGTTTGCTCTTCTCCACACTCGCATGTCGAGATTCTACTTTGTAGCCCCATTTCTGAAGGTTGGCTCTGCATCTCGTGATGCCAGAGCACAGTCTGTTCAGTGCCTTCCAAGTCGCCCAGTCTTCTGTGTGCCCAGGAGGGAGTCTCTCATTTGGTATCAGCCATTGGTTGAGGTGCTGGGTTTGAGCCTGCCACTTTTGGACTCTCGCTTGCTGAGGTGTTCCAGCGAGTGTCTCTGTAGATCTTAGAAAACTATGTCTAGATTTAAGTCGTTGGCGTGCTGGCTGATACCCAAACAGGGGATGAGCTGGAGATGTCTCTGCCTTGGTCCTTTCACTATTGGCTGCTACTTCCCGGTGGATGTCAGGTGGTGCTAAGCAGTGTAATTTCTCCAGTGGTGTAGGGTGCAGACACCCCGTGATAATGTGGCATGTCTCATTAAGAGCCACATCCACTGTTTTAGTATGGTGAGATGTGTTCCACACTGGGCATGCATACTCAGCAGCAGAGTAGCACAGCGCAAGGGCAGATGTCTTCACTGTATCTGGTTGTGATCCCCAGGTTGTGCCAGTCAGCTTTCGTATGATATTGTTTCTAGCACCCACTTTTTGCTTGATGTTCAGGCAGTGCTTCTTGTAGGTAAGAGCACGGTCCAGAGTGACTCCCAGGTATTTGGGTGTGCTGCAATGCTCCAGTGGGATTCCTTCCCAGGTCATCCTCAGAGCTCGGGATGCTTGTCTGTTCTTAAGGTGAAAGGCACATGTCTGTGTTTTACGTCTTGACCTGCCCATCCAACCTGGGCACAGGTCTCCGCGCAGGTGTCCATATTAAGCTGCCCAACCTTGGCAAGCATGAGAAATTTGGTGAAATCCTCAAGAGGCTGAGGCTGCAGAAATGGGGCACAGGTGGTGTGGACACAGCTACTGTGGGAGGAGTGTTTGATGTCTCCAACGCCGACCGTCTTGGATTTTCCGAGGTGGAGCTGGTACAGATGGTGGTTGATGGGGTGAAACTGCTGACCGAAATGGAGAAATGCCTTGAGAAGGGGCAGTCCATTGACGACCTCATGCCCGCTCAGAAATGAAAAGCACTTTAACATCCCAGCACCCCCCATGCTTCTTCCTAACTTATTGGATGAATAATACAGCAAATGAGGAAAAAAAAACCCATGAGCTGCTCCAATCAAAACGTGGAGTCAACAGAGAAATCCTCACTTAGTAACACTTGTAGAAATTCTTCCATCCATATGTGTTAGAGTTTTTTTTAGGGATCAGCTGGTTTTCCCTGTAGTAGGCAGCAAGAGCACCTAGAGCAGAGATAGGCAGAGATAACCACGAAAAAGGAGGAGGGTAATCTTCCTCTTTCTCTCTGGTTGTATGGATGCTTCTGCTTATGTCAGCACAAGGTGATCACAATAGTCAGGAAATCAAACAGAACTTTGCAGCTATCTGGAAATAGTAATGGCAATGGCCCCGTCTGATTTGTCACCTTTTAGCTGAGCTCATCAGTGCAAGAAAAAAGGAATGGTGGTGGCCCATGTGGCCTGGTCCGAATAAGACTTGGTCCTGCTGTCCACACTGTGCCGAAGCTGTCCTGGAATTTTCTTAAATATGGGACACTGTGATAAGCTCCAGAAGTTTCATCAAGTCAACCTGGAGCAACTCCATAGTTATTATGGGTTAAGAAGCACATTCAGACAAGTCTTTAGTCTCCTGGCATTGAGAAATATGTCTGCATATACGTACAGTGAGCTCTTGGTATCTGCAGGCGTTTAATTCCAGGACCTCTCAAGGATACCACACTCCATGGATGCTCAGGTACAATTTTTAAAATAAATTGTATAGAAAAATTAAGGTTTTTTAAAAATATAAAATAGCAAAACTAAGTTTTGTTTTTTGGATTTTTAAAGAACATTTTCAAGCTGTGGTTGATTGGATCCCTGGATGCAGAACCCATTTAAGGACCGGGCTGTGGTGCAGCTAGTTAGTAGCCAGCTGCATTAAATCACTACTGACCGAGAGGTCATGCATTCAAAGTCAGCCTGGGTTGGAGTAAGCTCCCAACCATTAATAGTCTAGCTTTCTGTTGACCTATGCAGCCTGAAGGACAGTTGCACCTGCCAAGTAGGAAATTTAGGTACCGCTTTATGCGGGGAGGCTATTTTAACTAATTTTTGATGCCACAAAACCTTCCAGCACTGTGCAGAAGAATGAGGAAGTACTCCAAAAAAGGACTCAGTGTCACAAGTGGAGGGTGAAGCAGCAGCTCCCCATATGGCCAGAAACGAGCATACCCTCATAAATCTGGAAAGCTGAAATGTTAAATTGCCTCTGTGTCTGTCTATATATGTTGTATGTCTAAATGGCATTGAATGTTTGCCATGTATATGTGCATTGTAATCCATCCCGAGTCCCGTGAGGGGTGAGAAGGGAAAAATATAAATACTGCAAATAAATAAATAAATAAATAAATTTAATTCCAGCTTTGTGGGTCACCAAAGTCATAATGTTAATTCGCTCTTTCTCTAAATTATTTTCAAGACATTAAAAATAGCGTAACGGTCATATGAAGTTCTGTTTATAAACAGAAACCAGGGGTGAGAAAAGCAGTATATAAATGCAATAAATAAATAAATAAATAAATTCATGTCATTCCACTTCAAATGTTTGGAAATTTTCCATAGAGGAAGACCCACAACATAGATAGATTACCTAAGAACTGAAGCATCCACAATGATAACTAGTACCCCAGTTAGTCTTCCATTATGTTTGCTACCAGAGTTCTGTAAAACATATATGTAATGGTTCTGGGCAGGGCCGTAGCCAGAAAAAAATGGGAGTAGGGGTTGAACCCCTACCCCCCCCCCCCTAATGAGAGCATTCAACACCCCCCAACTTGGTTGCTTTACTACATCGGCTATTGCTGCAAGTAATGACAGTGTGAATAAATTGTCAATATTTGCTTGAGATAGTGCTTGCAGTTCTGGAGGGACTCTTAATTTTTTGCATCTCATAGACTTAGCATGGGGATTGGTTAACCAGTTAAAATTCATGAGTAAACCAGGTTTTTTTACCTGAAAAATTTCAGGGGGGGGGGTTGAACCCCTAACACCCCCCCCCTTCCCCCACAGCTACAGGCCTGGTTCTGGGATTAAATCTTTTCAGATATAACTAAGGTTATCCAGGTCATTGGGATAACCAATAGGCTCCAGAAAGCATAAAGACTGAAGAGCAGACCAGAATGGGGTAAGGGAAAATCAGGTAGTTATATCTGTGATATGAAATCCAAAGCGCACATTTCAAGATTTGGAATGAGACTCACACTGACAATTATGACAGTTTGTCTCTCTAGCAATCTTATATGGGGACAGTATATGTACAGGTGTTAATGTTCACAAACCATAATCTTTGCTTAATGTGTGGAAATATGTCTATTTGTTTTTCTCCTCCATTGTTCCAAGACCTTGGCTCCATCTACACTTACTGAAATAATCCAGAGTGTTGTTCTCTGGATGCACACTGGTGTGTCCCTGGAGCCTTTTGGTGTACAGACAGATGGACAAGCCAAGACTGCATTGAGGCTGCCACTGCCATTTCATCGACCAAAAACAAACCTCAGCAGAACCTTCTTGATTATGTCACTTCTAATGTGGTCACAACAGGGCACCCAGCCATGCGATCATCTGCAGCATGGATACTGGATTGGGATGGATCCAGCTGTCCACACCTCAAAAACACTGTTTTTTTTTAATTGAGGGAAGAAACAAAAATCAATTTAAAGGCTTGCAGCTCTGGAAATCTACCCTCCAATTGTCTGTTTTGGCAGGAGCCATCCTGATTTATCCTCTGTCCTCTCCTTCTGCAGTTGCTGTTAAAATGTTCCCAGTTCTCCCTCCTCATTGCACTGCAGTTGTTTCAACTGAGTTCAACTTAACAATAGGAAGACAGTAGGAGGGTGTGGAACTAGGCAAAGGCAAGGTGCTGCAGTCTTTCCTAGTATGTGTGCTCCTCCTTATTAGATACTTTTGTCATCTATATTTAATTCTGATGTTGCTTGACAACATAGGGCCTTGTTTTGGTCTGCAAAATGCTGGAAAGTATAGAACGCTCACTGCCTTAAGCAGTGGTTCTCAACCTTCCTAATGCTGTAACCCCTTAATACAGTTCCTCATGCTGTGGTGAGGCACAAAAACCCGATAAACCCAAATTTGAATACTGGTGGGGTTGCCGGGCCGTTTGGGGGGGGGGGGGTTGATTTTGTTCCTTGGGAGTTGTAGTTGCTGGGATTTACAGTTCCTACAATCAAAGAGCATTGTGAATTCCACCAAGCACAGAACTGGGCCAAACTTGGCATACAGAACTCCCATGACCAACAGAAAACACTGGAAAGGTGTGGTGGGCATTTATCTTGAGTTTTGGAGTTGTAGTTCACCTGCATCCAGAGAGTATAGTGGACTCAAACAATGATGGATCTGGATCAAACTTGGCACAGATACTCAGTATGCCCAAACATGAACACTGGTGGAGTTTTGGGAAACTAAAAGGTAAAGTTTTTCTCCTGACATTAAGTCCAGTCGTGTTCGACTCTGGGGTTGGTGCTCAAAGTGTGAGAACATAACAACAGGGGGTGGGATGTTATTGAGGGCATTCCCTTCTCAGCCCCCAGAAACATTTTTTTTTACTGTAAGCACAGCACCATATGCTGCCTCGATTACTCTCCCAGAACCTCTCCTATCAATTACTCCAGCCACTGCTGAGAGTTTCGTCACATGTTCTGCTTTTTCCTTTCTCTGTTCTTCCTGCAGGTAGGGGAGAGCATGGGGGAAAGGCATTACACAGGCAGAAGAGCAGGGCAGTTAGGGTTCCCAACTTTCATGGATGCCAAATATGAGGAAAGTCTCTTCACCCTCCAGCATAAGGTTGGGGTGGAGGAAAGTAGACACCCCAGCCAATAAGACTAATTTGGTCTGAATAATGCTACATCGAATGGAAGAGCATTCATACACAGGAATGATTTTGCAATTATTATATACTGGAACATTTTTACAACTCTAGAAAAAAGATTTCCATTTTTATAGACCGGAACGATATTTTACCTTCATATTGTTCATACTGAGGTGATTTAAGTAATCTAAAGACACAGTTTAATTTGCTTCTCCGAACTCTCATTTCCCATGTGTATAGTCAAGAATTATCCATGCATGAAGGCAGAAACCTCTTCCTTGGAAAAGCATTATGCTTTTCAGTGGTTCTGCTTTTTAAGTTTCTTTTTTCTTTTTCTTTTTTATAAAAAAGACACGTCTACAATACATTCCAGTGTAAACAAAAGCCCAGATGTTTTAGCACATTTATGAGAAGCAAAAACTTTCTATTCTTTATTTACACATTCCAACAAATACTTTACCCCCAAAAAAGTAGCAAATGTTGACTTTTACCTCTTAGGTCCCAATTGGAACAACATCCTGTATGCTGCAATGTCAACATTCTCGGTAAAGTTTTTTCTCTCTCCCCTCCCCTCCCCACATAAGTCTTTGGGTACTAACATCTGAAACTTCTCCATTCAGTCAAGAAGGGTGATTACTTTCTTAGCACAATGGTGCAGTCCTCATGAGAACAAAATACCTCCTCTCCTTTTCTCTCTCTCTCTTCCAATGTTTTTTCACCTGGAAACAAAAATATCTTCGCAGACTGGTCTGCATGCCTCTAGTTAAAATCCTTTCCCACTGCCTATGAGTATTTGGAATCTGAAAGGAAATTTGACCTCCAAAGAACGCAGTATTCCATATTCTCCTTTCTTCAGAGAAGGTCTGCTGAACTCAAAGATTAAACTATCTGTGAAAAAAAGGAGACTTCTAGGCTACAGTAATTAAGGCCACATTTTTTGTTTTAAATTATAACTGAGCTGAACTTTCTCAGAAGATTTGTCTGAGAAACCTTCTGGAATTTTTCTCTCCCTTTTCTCCGATCAGAAGAAGAAGACCACTTCACAAAACAACAGCAGCAACAACAATAATATCTGGACAATATTATTCATTCATTCATTTCATTTCATTTATATACCTCTTTTCCCACCCCTTTGAGGGGACTCAAAGCGGTTCACAGCAAGGTAAATGGCAAAATGCAATGCCTCACAAAAATGCAAAATACATCACATACCTAAAATAACATAACTATAGATTAAAAATCAATAAACTATAAAACATCGGACATAGACAAACATAAAACATAGAACATTGGACATT